CCGGGTAACCTCATCCACGAGTTCTGCAGAGGGACGCGAACGTCGTCGAGGTCGCGATGGCGCAGGCGACTGCGGGCTGGTATCCCAGCGGACGGATGCCCAACGAGGCAAGTCGGCACAATCGTCTGCGCGCACCTGCGAGCGTGCGCACTGCTGTGTTCTACGGGGCAACGCTGGATAACCGCTCTGCTGCAGCGTTGGCACGCCGTCGACCTGCTCTGTTGGCAGGTCGCCTTTCCGCAGTGCTGGCGCGGCTCCTCTACGCAACGCTGGCAGGCGGTCTGCCGAGCTGTGCTGGCGGTCGACCAGGCTAGCTGCATGGTTGCTAGGTGCCTGATGTAGTCATTCTGTCATTGCTTGTTTAATCAATTCCGTCATTACTCCCGTAAATGCGCAATGAACTAAAGCTACGATCACCTCTAGTAGTTCGTGCCAACCCCGTAGTCTAGCTCACTACCGTTGTAGAGTGATTCTCTGCATCCCCAACAACAGAGGCCGCATTGGGCCAAGCAATTTCAAACATTGCCGGGCCAAGCAATTTACAGGCCCAATTTCGCGCCTGATGGACTCGGGTATACAAGACTGAACAAAACAGATACCGAGGGTTTGAATTTGCGTCAGGGTGTTCTGATATGGAAAAACCCACGGGAGTGGCAGGGAGAGGGGTGACCAAACAGGCTAGGGTTTTCACTTCGTGCAAGATGGTGGTTGGCGTGATCTTTTTTTTTTTCAAAGAGGAGGTGCCTCTCTGGTTGGGTTAAGCGCTGCATCATGTAGGGACTTTTTAGGGTGGAGGTTGGTGTCCCCTACCCAGCACATCCGTCGGTTGGCCGTCGCCCAGCCTCAAAAAAGGGGGTTTTGCAGGGCAAGGTGAGGGCCTGGATTTTTGCCAGGGGCGGAAGGTGTGGAGGGGAAGCTGGGTGCTTCCTAGGCCCTCAAACCCTCAAGGGAAAATGGCTGTTCTGTTGCCACTTTCCCTCGAATAGGTTCGGAGGGAAAGTGGCTGGCTCGGCACCACTTTCCGGGCTGACCGCCTCCCAAACCCAAAAAACGAAGTATGGGGAAGCTACCTACTCCTCCCCCCCCCCCCCCCCCATTCGCCGGAGCCTAGATAACAGAGCCAATGCAAACGTTGTCGGGCTGCGGAAATCACCCTATAAGCACACCCCTTGCTGCGCATTGCCGTTGTGCGAGCCTCTTTTCCGCGATGAAACGCACCACTCTTCTCTGCTTTTGGGGCAGGAAAAATCAGTCAGGTCGTCAGTTCTCTGACATGTCAGGCGATCGCAAAATCCTATTACGGGCGATGTTCGGCAGCACACGGGATACAGCGAGGGGGAGGGGGCGGAATCCAAACTCAAACCTAGGGTTTTTAATTTGGGCTGGTCAAATGGGAGTCAACCAGCGTTGTCTCCAAGTCCGGGGTCCAGGCGCAAGCGGAAAGGTTGGGGGGGAAGGCGCGGACGAGCGATTCGGGAAGCGGGGGCTCACGAAACTGCAGCTGCACGAAACGAAACTTCTCGTGCTGAATAGTTTTTCTTCTCCTTGCCTCATTTTACTGTTGTGACTAGTTTGGGTATATCACTACCCGAAAACATTTAACACCATAAATTAAAATGAATGTCCTAAATGTCGTACTCACCTAGATGACCTTTTTGATATTATTTTGAATACAACTTTTTTGCAATACATTTCCGATGTCCGATTTACCCGTTAGTTTAGAGTGCGGAGTACAATCATAAAACAATTTCGTGGATGAAGGAATCCACTTTACATCCCCCCGTGGGTGAGGCCACTCACGGGAGTGCAATTTGGATTCCCTGGGCACTAGGGCGGAATTTTTCCGCCATGGGGGAGAATTTGGGGGAGGATGCGGCGCGGGCTACTATCTACAGCTGATGCTCACCCCATGCGCGCGAATTTGCCTTGCGCCGGATGGACACGCTGCACCCGAGGTTGTTTCCCCAGCTTCATGCACCCACATTACAAGCGCGTCAAGCAGAAGAGACCGAAGTCAAGCAGAAGAGACTGAAGTCAAACTAGGTAACTAGGTAGCAGGGTCTTGTTTATAAGCACATGCGAATTCTTTTTAGCGAGCTGCGAAACTGACGAACTTATGCGAAACGCTTGATACAGCTTATATGCCCCCTTCACAAGGCAACCGGGAGGGGCTCAAACAGGCATCAGGAGTAGCGTGGTGTTCCCGTCGCGTTTTAGGCTCACGTCGGCATTTTTTTCACTTTTTTCTAGCCTGACCGAAGTGTTTTGCCTAGTTCATACAGGTCGAGCCTGGAGGTCCCGCATTTTGATCCTCCATCAAACCCCCTCCCCTGGCTTCCGAACATCGCCCTGGACGCGAACAGCAAAATTCGCGCGCGACGCGCACCGACAGTCAATTTTTGGGCAAGGGTTTCATGGCTGTGACATTGATCTTGCACACCTCAGGCATACATCTGACATACTTCCAGGGTGGATAGCCTCACATAGGGCGTATTCTTAGCTTCGTGTCATCCCGTACTTGTGTCATCTGAAATTGTGGGAGCCAATTGGGAAACCCGCGTTTGAAGCTTTGGATTTTTCGATTGGACCCCATGATCTCGGATGACACGAAGCTTGGATGACACGAAGCTACGAATATGCCCGTAGATTCACTTCGGACCCTCCAGGGGCCCCTTATTCTTTGTGAGGTTGAGATCTGGTGTTCGGAAGATGTTTCTTCGAAATCCTGGACTTTCAGGCACTCCGAAAGCCGGCATTCCGAATGCCATCTCATTCCGGCAGCACATAAATCAAAAGCCCGCTTTCAAAGCCGCAGTCGCAAGTTGCTCTTTCTCTCACGCAGCTTCTTGCTGCCATTGCGTGCCTCTCCATTGTCTCCTCGCCCGAGTCCCACCTTCGAGGCCGCACCTACTAGGTCCCAGGTCTCTTCCTAGTATTCTCACTTTGTTGCTTGCAAGCCGCGGGAACTAAGGGATGTGGGCCGCGGCTCACGTCAACTCGGGACGCGAAAAAGATCGAAGATTATTTGACGTTGTAGCGTGTGATCGATCGTGTTTTGAGTCAACTCAAGATCGATCACTGATTGCCGTCTCCTCGGCCCGTCTCCCGAGTCGACTCAAAAGTCACCGCGTTGCGTGTGATCGGCGCTAATCCTCGCCTCCCCCTCTCCCCGATTCCTGCCGATCGGTCGCGATGGAGCGCCACGGGCTTCGATCCGGCGTGTCTCGCCTCAGCCCCGCCGAACTACGAGTCGTCGCGGGTGTTGTTGCCATCAGCTTCCTCGCGACCCACGCCAGCGCCGCTTTTGGTGAGAAGGCTGGATGATGGAACACCATGACACCACCTTGAACACCAGTGTAACACCACCATGACACCAGTATGACATCACCATGACACCGGCATGACACCACCATGACACCCAATCCAAGGGGTGCTCGCTCGTGCTTCCCATTGTCTTCCATTTTCATGCTTCTGACCATCATCTCTCCCACCCTTTTGCTCTTTGCGTCTCTTCTCCTGTTTCTCACATAGCATCTGGGTTGTTGTGCTTTTGAACTAAAATGTGGTGAGGTAAGTGGAAGGTCGTAACTATTGACCCTTTTTTCATTCACCCCCCCTGCTCTTCCGGATTTCATTTCCAAAAATCCATCCGTGAATTTGCTCAGCAAACTCGTGCGCCGGCATCGATTGCGGGTCGAGTGCTTCCTGCACTTTCTATCGTAATGGCTCTCCTTAGTGCTTGTGTGATGATGGTAGCAGTAATTTCAACGAAACAGATAAGACGTGCTACAGTGAGTGGTGGTGAGCGAGTGAGTGCAGATGAGCGAGTCAAATGTGGTACCACTGAGAAGAATCAGTGACTGTCTGAGAAAAATCAGTGACCTGTGCTTTCACACATCCGGTAAAAGTACCTTTCTAAGTCAAACTCAGCCGTTGCTTCTCAGAGGTGACTTTTGAGTCAACTCAGAAGTCATCATCACTGACTTGTGCTCTCACGCATTCATGAATGCAGAGTTGGTCAGACTCTGCTGTTGCTTCTCAATCTGTTGGTTTTCTTCCTTCCTTCGTAGCTTTCTCCTTTCCTTTCTTCTCCTCCCTTGCTTCCCACCCACGTCCTCACCCCCTCTCGCCTCCTCCATTCCCGCGTCTTGTTCTCACGCTCAGCGTGCTCAGAGTGCGCGAGTGTAGGTGGGTGTGGCTTTGCGGGTGAGTGCACGAGTCTAGGTGGGTGTGGCTTTGTGGGTGAGTGCGTGAGTGTAGGTGGGTGTGTCTTTGCGGGTGAGTGCGCGAGTCTAGGTGGGTGTGGCTTTGCGGGTGAGTGCGTGAGTGTAGGTGGGTGTGGCTTTGCAGGTGAGTGCGCGAGTGTAGGTGGGCGTGGCTTTGCGGGTGAGTGCGCGAGTCTAGGTGGGTGTGGCTTTGCGGGTGAGTGCACGAGTGTAGGTGGGTGTGGCTTTGCAGGTGAGAGCGCGAGTGTAGGTGGGTGTGGCTTTGCAGGTGAGTGCGTGAGGGTGGGCGAGTAAGTGCAAGAAAATACATTTTTTTCTTGCTCAAGTTTCAAACCCCTACCCCCTTTTTATTATGTACTTCGGAACGTGCTTGAGCTTCCCTGCGGACGCGTGTGCCGTGAATGATTGCGGGCCAAATGCTGATTGCATGCACATGGCTCCTGTTCCCAACAGCCCTGCCGAGTGCATCTGCCCCGACGGGAAAGCCTACAACGAAACGGACAAGACATGCTATGGTGAGTGGTGGGGAGTGGCATGGGAGTGGGTCAGAAGTGGTATTGGCTGAGTGGTTGAATCAGCTATTGCGGAGCACTATGTGTACTCGTGAGCTATGCTCTCATGTAGTCAGAAGAGAAGAGTTGCTAGGCTAGAATCAGCTATCGCTGCTCCAAGTGAACTGTAAAGTTTTCTTTGTTAGCCTTTTATCGTCCAATCTTCTTCTCCCCCCTAATTCACTGGAGTGGGGGTGAGTGTGCGAGTGGGGTGAGTGTGCGAATGGGGGTGAGTGTGCGAGTGAGGGTGAGTGTGCGATTGGGGGTGAGTGTGCGAGTAGGGGTGAGAGTGCGAGTGGGGGTGAATGTGCGAGTGGGGGTGAGTATGCCAGTGGGGGTGAGTGTGCGAGTGGGGGTGAGTGTGCCAGTGGGGGTGAGTGTGAGAATGGGGGTGAGTGTGCGAGTGGGGGTGAGTGTGCATGTGTGGTGAGTTCACAACCATAAGCAAGAGTTATGTTCGTCTCCATTTGTCCCATTGCCCCACTCAATCAAAACCACCCGTGACTTTCTCGCAGACCTGTGTGTTGTCTCTGGCAAGGAGTGTGGCCTCGATGCTGATTGCACTGCGTATGGGACCGATCCTGTGTGCGAGTGCAACATGGACGGTTGTCTCTTTAACGAGCTTGACAAGACGTGCTTCGGTGAGTGCTGCACTGCTGAGCTGTTGACGATACATTTCTTTACAACTAACACATTTCAGCAAACATTGCCACATTGCTGAGCTGATTTCGTCTCCTCACTCCTCCCGCACCCTCCCCCCTGTCTATCCTCTTCCTCTCCTTTCCCCTATCCCACCTGCAACTCAACGTTTACAAACTGCCACCATCCCCACCTTTACCGGCCGGCCATGGCATCGTCACATCAATCACTGTGCCAACTGCCGTGACGGCCGTTCAGACCCGATGGTGCAGACGGCGATGCAGCTGAGTGGGCGCAACATCAAGGAGCGCCTCACCTTCTCCACCTCGGTGCCGGCAGAGCAGGCCAGCGCCACCACCGTGTGTAGCGATCTGAGCTCCAGAATTGGCAATGCCAAGATCACCGTCACGTGGGATGCCCCGAAGGCTAGAGCTGGCAAGGGCAACGCCATGTGCAAGAGCGTGACATTCTACACCGGCAAGGGCTGCACGGGCCAGCACGGCCTGACCATCGCACGTCTTGCGAAGAAGGGCCCGTTCCTACCCCACCACGAAAAGGTGTGAGCGTGATGTGATGCATGCTATGTCATGTGTGGTTTAGTCCGCCACATTGTGTAGCTTGGTGCATGCCTTGTCGAGTGTGAATGGAGCGAGTGTCTTTTCCTCCTCATTTTTTGTCTTCCGCATCCTTTCTTCTCCCTCTCTCAGGCTTGTCAAAGCTGCATATTTAGTTGGATGCCATCTCAGTAAGTGAGAGTGCATGCACGTGCAACAGACGGCAGGCGAAAACACCTGCCTCTGTCAAACAGTGCAAGGAAAAGGGGAAGGGAGAATTCAAGACAGCTCGGACGTCAGTGACGATGAGCATGATTATTTAACATGTCCGATGATGATTGTTGATGTAGTAATGAAAAATCTCATAAATGGGAAAAAAAAAACATATTTCCAAAAACTAAACAGCAGCACCAGGGTAATGGAAAATGTTACATTGTTGGATAGGTAGATGTTTTTTTTTCCCCTTACCACGCTAGTGATGTCAAAAGTGCACTGTCGCTTCAGCACCTTCACAGCATTTGACATCTCGTGTACTTGGGTTGGGGCTGTCAAAACCCATTCTGTGGTTATAGGCTGTAGTGGGTCATCCTGTAGGGGGTACAACCCGTCTAGGGTCCATACTTTTATCCCCATTGCTGCTCAATGTACTCGTTCCGGTTGCTTCATTTTTGACATAGTTGCAGAGCGGTTAGCTCCTTAAGACTCATTTTCATGGGCCCAGAAGCAGAGGCGGAGGAGAGGAGGAGAGCAGAGAGCAAAGTTCTGGGAGAGGGGGGAGGGAAGGAGGGGAAGGGTGGGGCCAGGCGCATTCGGGTGCCCAAAGGAACCTCCAGTTACCACGTATGCTCTGATATCAGGTGCCGAAAGGTGTGGAAGAAGAGAGGCTAGAGGGAGGCAGCTCCCACCATGGGCTCATGGTGCATTTTGGGTCGACTCAAAGGTCACCTTGATGGGCTCATGGTGCGTGCTGGTTTTACTTCATGCCAATTGTTACGCCTCCCTTCAACTCCCTGCATTCATGCTACCGCCATCCCTTCTCTCTCACCTCTCATCGACCTTCTGTTTGTCATCCACCTTTTCAACGAGGTACAATGAGGGCGATGTAGGATGAGAAAAACCCCTCTCCCTTCCCCTCTCATCCCTCCCCTAGGGTTTCTGGCTGGATAGGAAGGAGTAGAGGCATAAGAGGCAGCCTTAGAAAATACCCATCTAAACCCGTCACACAGAGGCATGAGGACATCGTCACTGACCCCTCCCCCCGGTGTGTGTTTGTGGCAGGAGGAGGAGGATGCAGAGGGCAAGGCGGAGATGAGGGCGTAAGCAGAGTGGGAGGAGATGAAGCGACTGAGGGCGTAGCAGCTGGAGGACCAGGTGGGTGTGGTGTGGGGTTCAGATTCAGGGTGTGTGGTATAGGGCATGAGAATGCTGAGGTTCAGGGTAGGAAGGAATAGGTAAACTCTCTCAGTTTGAGCACATTGAGAGAATTTGAATGCAGCGGCTGAAGGTGTGTCTGTTAGAGACTAAGGACGGAGTTTAGGAAGCTTAGAGACCGAAATATCACAAAATCGTTGGTCTCAATTTCTGGACGTAATCGTCAACTTCACAAGAAACGCCGTCGACAAAAACATCACCGTTAAAACGTCACCAATCTTGGATATGTTGTATCTCTGGAGCGTAGCTACAATTCTCAAGTTGAATTGTATCAAGAAGTGAAGAAGAAGTGAAGTATAACCCGACTTATCAATTTCGGCGCACAGGGGGGTATGCTGCCATAGAATCTTGACGCAATCACAACTAACTCACAAGTTTACACAAGAATGTTAGAGTAGCTAGAAACCTGGTAGAAAGGGAGGAGGAGGACGAGAGGGAAGGTCCCCAAGGAGTCTCCAACCAAGGAAACCCCATAAGCACATCAAATCCCCTCCCACTTTTACTTTTGTTACTTTCCCAACCCATGCCATCCACCTTACCCAACTTGGCCACACTTGCCAACCAGGTTTGGCTCCTCCCAACCACAGTGATGTTGACGAATTTCCCAACCCCAAAAAGTCCATACCCGTTATGGAGTCAACCCCACAACTTCCCATAGTCGGGACAAACAAATATCAACAGCATACGAACTTCCAACGTTCGTAACTTTCTTGTTCGTGCTCCGATTGAAGCGATACTTGGTTAGGCGGAAAGCTCTTGAGCAGAGGAGTCACTTCAGATATCTGCTCAAGCCAAATAACATTCACACTAACTCAGAGAATCCAAACCACACCAAACACAAATTCTTGCACACGCTCACACCACTTATGCAACGCACGAACATATGATGGGAGGCAGACAGACGTGAATGCGAATGATAGCATCACATAAGAGTGTCAACATCAGCAGCAGGACCATTTAGGTCACTGGGAAGGGGACAGTCATTGTGGTCTTAATGAGCTGATAGTATTGATGGGGAATCATGTCCAAACCCAAGCTTGAAACCCAACCTCAAACCAGGATAAACCCTAGTTTGCAACCCAAACTAAGTTTGGGTACCTATCTACATTCACCTAGGAATGCCAGCCTGTGCTACAAGAAACAAGTGAAGCCATATTTTGACAGGAGTGTCCCCCAAGGGAGGCATCGCTCGAGACAATTCCAGGCAGAACCTGGTACCATCACAGAGGCTTCCTCTCCATTTCTCTCCATTCCTCTCCATTCCTATCCATTTCTCTCCATTCCTCTCCATTCGTCTCCATTCCTCTCCATTCTTATCTCCCTTGTTATCGCCACACACCCCAGAGTTCCCTTACAAGGTCAACACGCCCGACGACATGCCAGCCTGCCTGCGCTTTGCCAACCTCACCTCCCCCATTCGCTCTCGCCCATTCCCGCTCCCCCATTCCCATCAGACATCCCATCTATTTCTTTGCGTGCTTGCTCCAGAGTTCTCTGACTAGGTCGATATGCCTGACGACATCTCAGCACGGCAGCGCATTGCCAAACTTTGCTACCTCATTCATTCCCCCATCCTTCATTCTCTCCATTCTCTGTGTCCCCAACCCCCCATTCCACGCCAATCAGAGTTTCCGGACGAGGTGGACACACGTGACGACATCTCGGCCCACCAGCACTTTGCCAACCTCAACTTCCCCGTCCGCTCTCCCCCATTCCCACTCCCGCATCTATTTCCTTGCTCCTTCTGCTCCGTCTGCTCCAGAATTTCCCGACGAGGTGGACACACCTGACGACATCCCGGCCCGCCAGCGCTTTGCCAAGTACCGCGGACTCAAGTCCTTCCGCTCCTCGCTGTGGGACCCCAAGGTGCTGTGCGGTGATGTGCTGTGCGGTGTGATGTTTGGTGTATGTACTGTGCAATATGCTGCCCAAGGTGGGTTACTTGCTGCTATTGTGCCCGTGTCAAGGTGTTGTGTGCGGTGCTGTCTGGTGCAGTGTGCTTTCCACTTCTTTGCCACTCACAGGAGTCCCTCCCCCCTGAGTACGCATGCATATTCTCCTTGGGCAACTGGAATAGGACGCACAAGGCAACAAGAGGAGAGGACAGCAGTGCAGCATGTCACACATTCCCTTAACTAAGACTTCCTTCCCCTCCCCCTTCCACCACCCCAACCTTCCCTCTGCCGCCCACAGGAGTCCCTCCCTCCCGAATACGCACGCATTTTCTCCTTTGACAACTGGAAGAGGATGTAGAAGGTCGTGGATGAGCGGGTGGCAGCAGTGGATCGAGGCAAGGTGGCTGGGTCGGTTGGGGCGGGGACGTTTGTCTGATTGCACATTATGAACGTGCCATGCTTCGAAGCAGGTACTCTATGAACCTTGCTATCGATGATGATGATGTCCCGTTCGATATGTGCATGTGTTTGGCAGTGTGCATTGCTCTGTTTAAACCGCAATGTGTGCATTTGTGTGTGAGTGGGCACGCGCTTATGGTGATCAATGGGGGTTATAGCAACTAAATGCACAGCCGGTATAATGCTGCTTACCAAAGCGCCTTCTCCCTACGGGGGGGTTGGTTTCCTCCAGGGATCTCCTTAAAGCCCAAAAAAAAAAAAAAAAAAAAAAATGTGTGTGAGTGAGCAACCATGCATGCATCTTGCAGGGCCGTGGAGGTGGGGATGCAGGCGGTCAGTATTACGATCTATTCAATAATCCTATTCCTTGTTGTACACCTTGCTTCCATTATCCTGGCTACGTGGTCTTCTCTTCATTTACAAACACCATGTTAATGCCCAAGAGCCTTGCTTTTCCTTCCTGGGTTCTTTCAGTTCCTTCCCCCGGCCCTCTTTTCCCTGATCCCCTCCCTTTCCCCCACCCTCCCTTTCCTCAGAGCGTCTGCCGCATGAGTCGACCAATTGTGGGCTGCCACTTGTTGTGACGGGCCTGCTGCAGCACGAGACGTGCATGACAGTGCTGCACTTCTCAATGAAGAAGGCTGACTCCTTCGCCCCCCCCATCAAGTCCAAGCAGCGCCTCCTCTTCCACTGCAGCTTCTGACGGTTTTACACGCGGTGAGTGGTTCTACATGCTGTCAATTATGGGTGCTGGTGGTGAGTGTCGTTGCTGGTGGTTGTGGTGCCGCCGCCCCCATCAAGTCCAAACATCGCCTTAGTCAAGACGGCCAACTCATTCCCCGCCCCCATCAAGTCCAAGCAGAACCTCCTCTTCCACTGCAGCTTCCGAAGGTCTTGCACTCGTTGAGTGTTGGTCGTGGGTGATGGTTGTGGTGGTGGTGGTGGTGGTGCTCCTTCTTTTGCAGTGAATAGTGTTTGCTGGTGGTGAATGTCGGTGGTGGTGGTGGTGGTGGTGGTGGTGGTGGTGGTGGTGGTGGTGGTGGTGGTGGTGGTGGTGGTGGTGGTGGTGGTGGTGGTGGTGGTGGTGGTGGTGGTGGTGGTGGTGGTGGTGGTGGTGGTGGTGGTGGTGGTGGTGGTGGTGGTGGTGGTGGTGGTGGTGGTGTAACTGTTGTTTGGTGGTGGTGAGTGTCGGTGGTGGTGGTGCAGCCCGCCCCCATCATGTCCACTGTGGCTTCCGTCGCTTCTACACTCAGTCAGCGCTGGTTGCTGTTGATGGTGCTGGTACATGCAGCCAGTGCCGCTGGTGGTGCTCGAGTTGAAACACGGGCTAAAGCTGTGATTTCCATTCAAATATTGTCCCACTCTCCTCCCACCACGTCACACCTTCCGAATCTACACATCTTATCACTTTCTAAATCATACCATGTTACGCCCCACCGCCTTCACAGACAAAATCAACCTCGTGAAGCACAAGTTTATGTGCCCTATTCATTCAGTCACTATCCCTCCTCGCCTCCCCCCTCCCCTCCCAACGGTCCTCGCTCCCGCTTAGCCATCCTCCCCCCACCCACCCACACGCCAAACTGTGAATTGCATTCAACCAATGTCCTTACGTCCCCCTTCTCCCCCTCCCCCATTTCCCCATCCCCACAGCCCCACCTTTTCAACGGACGATATCAACCTCGACAATCACAAGTTCGATGGTTTCCTTTCCTCCACCCTTATCAATCCACCACTGTCCCTCCTCCTGTCCCCCCCTCCCTCCCCCTTCACAATCCTTCCATCCAGCCCCACCTTCTCAACGGACGGCATCAACCCCCCACCCCAACCTCTCCCCACCTTGCTACCCAATCCCCCCCTCTTCCCCCCCAGCCCCACCTTCTCCACGGACGTCATCAACTAGGACAAGTTCAAGAAACAAGTTGAAGCTGTGACTTGGCATTGCGCTATGCTCAACTCAACCACTGCGCTGTGCTCCCCCTCTCCCCACACCCTCCCACCTTCCAAACCCCCCCCCCCCCCCCCCCCCCCCAGCCCCACCTTCTCAACGGATGGCATCAATCTCGGCAAGCACCAATCGAGAAACACAAGCATAAAACCCAGCCCCCGAATTACAAAGAGGCATTCATAAACTGGAGGCAGTTTGTGTCTCGCTCCTACTGGTTTCGGGAAAGAAAGGTTTAGGGGAGGTTTTCGAACCTCAAACCTCTGCTTTCCCAAACCTATTTTCCCCCGTTGACTTCTGTTGAGTAATTCGGGTGTTGCCCTTGAAGTTGGACTTGGCATTCAACCATTGTCCTCCCCTGCTCCCAGTCCCCCTCCCTTCCCCCCTCCCCCTCCCCACAGCCCCACCTTCTCAACGGACGACATCAACCTCGACAAGCACAAGTTCGAGCACTTCCTGCTCCCGGGAAGGTTTGCGGTAGCTTCCATCTTCGCACCCACGCTCTTCCCGCCGCACCCCCTCCTCGTCTTCGTCGATCCGTCCTCTGCCAATCAGCACACAGGAGAGGGCGTGGGGGGAGGGAGCGTGGGGGGAGGGAGTGTGGGAGGGGGAGGAGCTGCAGCTGGCGGCAACTAGGGCTTTAAGAGGGCCGGACCCCAATCTGATCATCCTTAAGAAGATTGTTCTGTCGGTGTGAGTTGAGTTGCGAGAGAAGCAAGTGCTCCGGTGTGCTATGAAACTTTGGGGCGTTATGAAACATAGGGGCATTATGTTATTCTCTAAGGCACTCATATGGAAGACAGGTTGTTCTTGACTAGATTGATAGGTGCTTTCTCCTGGGGTGCAGCAAGGTGAAGAGTGTCAGTGATGCAGTGGAAGTCATTGGCAAACTCACATGTAGATATATGTGCACCCATGCTTTCACTCCCTTCCTCCTCCCCTTCTCCCTCCTCCCCGTCCCCCTCCTCCCCGTCCCCTCAACCCCATGTGCAGCTACCCCACGTCAGTGATGAAGCGCAAGGCAGTGGTGCACTACATGTTCCACCAGCCAGAGGATGGCAGATGGTTCCAGGTCAGTGCCACGTCAGATGGTTCCAAACAGGAAAGAGAGTGGGTTGGGGGGAAGAGGGATGCCACGTCCCTCATCCCCCGTTCCTCTGTTCCTCTTCAGAACACCTTCTATTACCCCCCCCGCCTCCCTTTCTTCTATCGAACCTTTTCACCAAAGTACGGCGGTGTGGTTGTATTTGCACTATGCACTACGCCCAGCCCTCTTCCCTCTTTTCCCACATTCCAGCACCCCCTCCCTTATCCCTCTAACCAGCTGGTGGGGCTGTTTACCAGGTGGCAAGGGGGACCTCATTCACTCTAAACGCACGATGCACAGCACTTCCCTCTCACAGCTCCCCACTCAGCTCTCTCCTCTCTTTACTTACCCCTCCTTCCCTCGTGCCAGCTGGTGGAGCTCTTCACCAAGTACGACCGGACGGCTGCATTCATTCTCAACGCACGATGCGCAGCACTTTCCTCTCCCCACTCCCCTCTCCCCACTCCCCACTCCCCTCTCCCCTCTCCCCACTCCCCACTCCCCTCTCCCCACTCCGCACTCCCCTCTCCCCACTCCCCACTCCCCACTTCCCTCTCCCCTCTCCCCACTCCCCACTCCCCTCTCCCCACTCCGCACTCCCCTCTACCCACTCCCCACTCCCCTCTCCCCAATCCCCTCTCTCCTCTCTCCTCTCTCCTCTCTTTACTTACCCCTCCTTCCCACGCGCCGTGGAGCACTTTACCAAGTACGGCCGAAGGGGACACATTCACTCGGAACCAATATGCGCAGCAACCAACTATCTTCCCACTCCCCACTCCCCGCCTTCCTCTCTTCACTTCCCTCTCCCTCGTCCCCCTCGCCAGCCAGTGGTGCTCTTTACCAAGTACGGTCGTAGGGGGCGCATTCGCGAGCCTGTGGGCACCAAAGGTGGGTGTGTGGATGTGTGGGTGCTGCACGTGGGTGTACGTATGTGTGGGTGCTGCACATGAGTGTCTGTATGTATGCGTGTTGTATGTAGGTGTGTGTGTATGTGGGTGCTGCACTTGAGTGTGTGTGTGTGTGTGTGGGTGGGTGCTGCACATGGGTGTGTGTGTGTGGGTGTTGCACGTGGGTGTGTGTGTGTGTGGGTGCTGCACGTGGGTGTGTGGGTGCCCTTCATCAATGCTCCTCATCAATACCTCTCATCACTGCCTGCTAGGAGCAATCAATTGTATGTTCGAGAGGGTGGTGCTATTGTGTGCTCACCAGTGCTCACTCCCTCCGGTATACCCTTCCCGTATCCCCCTCTTGCTTCCACCCCTCTTGCTTTCACCCCAATGCCCCTCATCGATGCTTCTCATCACCGCCCGCTAGGAGCAATCAAGTGTGTGTTTGATGGGGTGGTGTAGCAACGCTATGCTATCACGTGTCCACACGTGCTCTCTCCTTTCCTGTCTTCCCCTCTTGCTTCCACCCCAATGCCCCTCTTGCTTCTATCAAAATGTTATAATGCTTATATTGTGTAGGCTGTAGTGGGGTAGCCCATAAGGGGTACAACTCAATTAGGGTTAGTACTTGTATCAACTTCCTACTCAATGCAGTAATTCTGGTTCATTATTTTGACATGGTATCAAAGCAAGTCCTGTTCCAGGACCGTTTTATTGGGCCCACCGAATAGTTCCCTGCCCGTAGCGCGTTACCCTGCTCGTAGCGCCCTACCCTGCCCGTCGCGCTACCCCACCAGTCGCGCTGCCTGCCCTGCCCATCGTACCGCCCTGCTGGCCACGCGCCGCCCTACTAGCTGCCGCGCCGCCGTGCTTTGCCCGTTACGCCTGTGAGAATAAGCGAACAGGAATGAATGAACTAGCAGTGAAATGAGTACAAGTAGGAAACCCTAGAATTGTGTACCCCCTATAGGCTAACCCACTGTAGCCTACACAAGCAGAACATATATGATGTTTGACACACCCCCATAGGCAAAGTGGGGGAGAACAAGGGGTCACAAGACCAGTCAAGCAAAGCAAAGCAAGCTCAGGGTGGATCACAAAGTCACCACACAGTCCGAGCACAGGAGCAGGGCCAGAGGCCAGTTCACATGCAGGAGTACAGACATATATATAAAACTAGACAAGCAAGAGCAGGTATATATATATGTCACAGTACAAGTGAAGTCAAGAGGAGAGCAAGTGAGGCAAGACAGGCACAAGACCCAGCTGGGTGCAAAAGCGCTGATGGTCACAAGGCGCGAGTGCCTTGGTGAACACATCAGCAGTATTGGCCTCAGAGGCCACGTACGCAAGTCGCAACTGACCACGCTGCTGCAGCTCACGAGCAAGGAAGTAGCGGAGAGCAATGTGCTTCGTTCTGTGCTCCAAGCGCTGCTCTCGACACAAGGCCAGCATGGCCTTGTTGTCTACGTACAGCACTGGAGGAGAACGAGGTGGCTCTCCAAGGTCAGTCAGCAGGTAGGTGAGCCAGCGAAGCTCCTGTGCAGCCATAGCCCCGGCGTAGATCTCAGCCTCACAACTGGAGCCGAGAACCGAAGACGAGCGAGTAGACCGCCACGAGACAGAGCCGGAACCAAGGCTGAAGGTGTAACCCTGTGACGACCGCTGCGTAGCCTGGTCGTCAGCCCAAGAAGCGTCCGCGTGGCCAGTAAGGACCACTGGACTCCGCCCTCCAAGCACTAGCCCCATGCCCGACGTACTGCACAGGTAGCGCAATACCCTCTTCGCTGCAGCCATGTGCTCTGGTCTGTGTCTCCCAGGAGCAACATAGCGTGCAAGAATGCTCAGAGGGTATGCAAGGTCAGGTCGTGTGCAGGTCATCAGGTACATGAGGCAGCCAACAAGCTCTGCATACGGACCACTCGACTCTACGGACTCATCCGAAGGCAGAGCTGAGAGTGAGTGGCGAGTAGGCAGAGGAGTGGCCTGAGGCGAGGAGTACGTGAAGCCAAAGCGCTGAAGGACCTGCTGCACCATGTGTGACTGAGTCAAGGTAATGGTGCGGCGTGCTCTGTCCCGAGTGACCTGCAAGCCAAGGTAGCTGCGCAGTTCACCCAGGTCTGTGCACGTGTGTCTCTTCAGCAGTTCGGACTTCACGTAGGCGAGTCCAGCAGTGTCCGCTGTGGCAAAGACCAAGTCGTCGACGTACACGAGGATGTAGAACGGCGGCAGTGAAGTGTCGGTGCGCAGAAACAGCGACGGGTCAGCAGTAGAAGGAGCAAACCCAAGAGCCGCAAGCGTAGTCCTCAGTGTGTCGTGCCACTCACGCGGTGCCTGGCGGAGACCGTAGACTGGCCGTCGGAGGCTCCACTGGGTGCCAGGAGGGAAAGTCCCAGTGAAGCCAGGTGGACGGCGCAGCCAGATCTCCTCGTGCAGGCTACCCTGCAGGAACGCAGTGCTGAAGTCGAGAGAGTGAAGCTCGTAGTCGCGCTGAGCGGCTATGTGCAGCAGCACCCGAAGAGTGGTCATCTTCGGGGTGGGAGAGAAGGTCTGAAAGTAGTCAACTCCCTGCCGCTGACTGAAGCCACGAGCAACGTACCGTGCCTTGAAGACAGGTGGAGAGCCCGGCGGCCGCTTCACCCTGAAGATCCACATGCCACTGACGATGTTCGCCCCAGGAGGGGGAACCGCGTCAACGTAGGTGCCTGTGGACTTCCAGGAAGCCATCTCTGCATCCATAGCTGCCTGCCACTGAGAGGAGTAGGGACCCTCTACGGCCTCTGCGTAAGAACGCGGAGTCGGGATGTCAAGTGCATCCGGGTCTCCCTCAGGGGCAAGCAGTACAGACGCGAGATGAGGTGAAGCAGCCGCTAGACACTGTAGCTCCTCCTGCCTGTCCTCTAGGACGTCCGTGCCAAGAGCACACTCACCCCCGACGGACGGAGGACAGACAGACGCAGACTCAGCAACAAGACTAGCAGCGTAGTCGAGACGACAGCGAGCAGCAAAGTCAACGAGCTCAGCGACTAGAGCAGACGCAGCAGTGGACTCAAAAGAGGGGTCAGTGACGACAGTAGCAAGCAGACGCGTGTCAGTAGGACTGGCAGCGCGAAGAGAGTCCGACTCAGGGTCGGCAAGCGCAGGAAGAGAGGACTCAGGAGGAGAAGGCAAGGGGGCACGCAGAGGAGCAGTGGACGGACGCAGAGATATCCGGTGCGTGCCAGGGACAGGAGGAGGACGCTGACGCGAACCGCGACCACTAGCGCGAGCAGCACGAACCGGCGACGCGGGACGAGACGCAGGCTCACGACGCTCAGCAAGACCTCCAGTAGGACCAGTGTAAGGAGAGGGAGCAGGCAGAGGAGAGGAAGGCTCCAACAGTGACTGCGACTGGACAGGCTGTGGACACTCTACCGAAGGAGAAAGACCAAGAACCTGCTGTAGGAGCGGAACGAAGTACGGCCGAGGCCGCGCGGCAGCTCCAGACTCAGCAGGGACAGCACCAGTACCCTCAGCGACAGCACCAGCGCCACCAACACCTCCAGCGGCAGGACCTCCAGCAGCACCAGCAGCAGAACCACCGCCAGGACAGACAGCAGTAGTCTCAGCACCAACACCCTCAGCAGCTCCAGCTCCAGTAGGACCCGCAGGCCCAGCAGCTC